CCCTAAAGGTGTCGGGCTCATATATGTATACATGTATATATATATATATATATACACACATACCTTTACACACATAATGTCTTCATATGGCAACAAAAAGACGGATATGAGTAATGAGAGGAAGAATGAACAACACAAAGAACAGTAATATGAAGACCAGTATTTCTAAGAAGGAAAAACTGAACAATCGAAATGCAAATGACCAACTAAGTACATACATATTGCGTACATATGTACATATACATGCATACATACGTACATACATACGTATAAATATCGATAGATATACACACTTCTTTATATATTTATACATATATATATATATGTATATATATATATATACACGTGTGTGTTTTTGTGTATGTATTGTTTGCATCCGTGCTCCGTCTGTTCCAGGCATGAAGTTTCCCATGTCAGCGAGAGAGCGCGATGACCTCATGGAGCTCAGCGACGTCTCCTTCCTCTCAAGGGAGAGGCCGAGGGCTTTTGGGGTTTGGGGTTTAGGGTTTAGGGTTTAAGGCTTAGGATTTGGGGTTTAGGGTTTGGGGTTTAGGATTCAGAGTTTAGGGTTGAGGGTTTAGGGTTTAGGATTTAGAGTTCAGAGTTTAGTATTGGGCGTTCAGGTTTAGTATTTGCGGTTTAGGGGTTGAAGCAAGTAAATGTCAAAAAGTGCCCTAAAGAATTACCGACATTATTTTGGGGCAAGGGGTGAGTGGGACTGCCCTACAGAAAGCCCAAATCCATTTGGAATCCGAATCGGAACCTCTGACCGCTTCGGCCGGGGCCAAGGCGAATATTATGATTCAAGGTATATTCCTTAATTTGATTAAGGGGTATTGGGTTCTCTCGGGTCCTTTACCCACATAATATATAGTTTGGCCCCAAAGTATACTTATATAGGGACTACTTTAAGTCCCTATGACTTAATCTCCGGATCCTTGTTACACCATTTCGGGGTTCAGCTAATCAGGTGCGGTGCCTAGATTCAGCCATTAAGATCCACCCCAGGTTCTAGGCTGCCGAGTGAAAAGGCTGCTTAACTCCAGAACCGTAAACTCTAAGCCCAAAACCTTAAGCCCTAGACCTTACCTTAACCTACCAAAGCCTGCTTTTTTGTAGGGTCCCTATAAACTCCTTATTAGGGTTTATAATAGGAACCTACAAAAAAGTAGGGTTTGGTAGTTTAAGGTAAACCTTAAGCTCTAAACCTTAAACCCTAAACCCTAAACCCGGAATCCTCTAAAACCCTAAGCCTTCAGCCCTTAACCTTCAACCTTAAGCCCGAAACCTTACACCCTAAACCCTAAACCCAGAATCCTCTAAAACCTTATGAAGCCCATGGACTCACCATCAGCCCTAAACCCTAAACCCTAAACCCAAAACCCCTTAAAGGAACCTGCAGCAGCGTACCAGTTTTGTGCAGTCAGTGATGTCTCAGCTGTGCAGTGAAAGCCTTTGGCTTAAGGGGGCCCCCTTTTGTGTGTGCTACCTTTGACCTAGAGCCATACGGACGGAGCTTTGGCGCTCCTGTGAAAACAAGCTCAGAGCTGAGTGCTCTTTTCTGATTGTGGTCGTGTGGGATTCTTTGACTTCTATAACAGCCCAATCAAGCTACCTTTGCAGCCTCCGCTGCATTGGTAGCGGAGCTACCTCGACCTGGGACCTTCCCGCACTTCCTTAGGAACTGGCGACGTGGAAACTTGGTCTACTCAGGCTGTCGAAACACCCTGCTCAGATTTGGACACCGTCCTCTACCTGTTCGACAGCCGCCTGCCCTTCAGGGTGGTTTTCTTCTTTTCAGTTTGGTTGAGTTGATTGACTTTGTACAGTACTTCTTTCTTCAGTATGGCAGACATGCAGAACTCATCTTCAGTGCCAGCGTGGGATGGCTCGGCGAGGACATGGCGTCGCTACACGAGAGAAGTGGCGTGGTTTGTCCAATCCACGGCCATCCATAAGCGTCGTTACTGCGCGTCCCGGCTGTTGTCGAGACTTTCAGGATCGGCCCGTCTCCTGGCCATGAGTTGGCCCCGGACTGACTTCGACAGTCCGAATGGATGCAAGATTTTCCTTCAACGACTTGCAGCCAGTCCTCTAGTACGACAGAACCTGCCCAACGCAGCCGCCATATGCCAACAATATTTTTCCTTCAAACGACATGAACGAGAATCTATTGGCTCATTCCTCGTCAGGGAAACCCTTGTCCATGAAGAGTTTGTCGAAGCTTTGATTCGTCTTCATGAAGATAAGTTAGGACTATCTCAAGAAGATCGTGATTATGGCCTTCCTCCAATCCCCGATGATGAAGACTACGAGGGTTCCTGGGGTTGGGGCTGGGGAGATACCATGTGGGATGCACCTGATGAACGACCAGAAGAACCTGATGCCGATGCAGGTGTAACCGAGGTTCCCGAGACCCCGGCTCCTCCAGGTGCGACAGGATCATCCCCAAGCCACCGTGCCGAAGTGACCTCGCAAGCAGGCTCTGCGACGAGACAGAGTCGAACACCTGAGGTTCCGAAGGCCGTGGACGAGCTCTCCATGGCGGACTCTTTCATCCTGGAAGTTCTTCGAGGCTGGCGTTTGATGCAAGCCTCGGGGCTAAATGCTGAAGAACGGCGTGACATCCTCGCCAGCACCAAGAACAGCATGGAGTACAGCGTCATAGCCGCTGCCCTTCAGAACTTGTGGGATGATCAGTTGTTTGGTCGTGGCTATCATGCTCATGTGCCTCACCACCAGGCCTACTACATGGACCCCATGGACAACCACGAGGCCGAGTACGCGCTCTACCAGGAGAACGAGGACCCCTGGTGGAATGATGCAGATGGCTGGTGGTACGAGGGCAACTACATGGACGACCACGGTCACTATGGCGAGGACGATTGGTGGAACAGCGAGTGGCCTGCGTACGAGGCCCAGGCTCTTCCAGAGGCTGAAGATCCTGGCCACAAGGAGAAGTTGCAAGAGGCCCAACAGGCCGAACAAGTGGCTGAAAGTTTGGCTGCCGAAGCAACCCGGACATGGGCAGAGGCCCAGCGGGCGACGCAAGCTCTTCGTCGAGACCGGGGCTTTGGAGCCGTTATGCACAAGGGCAAGGGATCTGGAAAGTGCTTCAACTGCGGAGGCAACCACTTCGCAAGAGACTGCCCGCAACCTCGTTTCTCGGGCTTTGGCCAAGGCAAGAACCGCGCGTTTGCAGCTGAGACCGAGGACTACTGGGCCTACTTCAGCGGCAAGGGCAAGGGCAAGTTCCGTCCGAAGGGAAAGAAGGGACCATGGATGCAAGCGCATGCTGTCTGGAACAAGGGCAAGTCCAAGGGCAAGCCGAAGGGAAAAGATGTGGGGCGATCTGTGAACGCCTACTCCTCCGACATGTTCCTGGGTGGTTTGGAGTTCAGTGGACTTGAGGCTGCGGCTACTCAGACGTCGACGGCCATGGCCCCCTCGAGCGATAGTGAGGCCCACCAAGGCATGATTGATTCAGGGGCGACAGCGTCGGCAGCACCTGAGGCCGTAGTGAAGGGCTTGATTAGCTCCATTCTCACTCAGGACAAGGGAGCCAAGATTGAGTTTGACCAGTCTGCGCGGCCATACTTTCGGTTTGGGAATGGGCGATGGGGCCGGGCACTGTGCCGAGTACATCTAAGCAGTGTTGTGTCTGGCCAGTTGCGAAGCTTTTCTCTTTACGTTCTCCCCAACCCTGATGAGTACTTCAAAAGTGGCTTTGACAAGTCGTCGTTGGTTCCAGTGTTGGTTGGTATGGATTGTCTTGGCAAGAATGGCATTGGGATCTTGATAGACTTTGCCACGGGTCTTGCTATGAATACCCACGAAGATAATCCCGAGATCTACAAGCTACATGTCAACAAGAAGGGCCACTACACCTTTGACATTGTTCATCATCTAACCCAAGGACATTCGTCACATGAAGGTCAAGCTCATGTGGTTGTGCGCGACAGCAGGGATGAATGCAGGAGTCTACAAGAACATCAGTTTCTGGAGCTAGGCGCAGTGTGGTTTGACATGACAGTCTGTGATGCTGAGTTGGATGAGCGTGATCTCGAGGCTGCCAGGTGTAGGATGAGACGGCTGTACAATGCATCCCGTGCCTCCTCGGCTTCAGCCTCTCAAGCACTGATGATTGGACCAGGTTCGCCTGTAGCAACCCCGACTCCTTCCTCTTCGCGTTCTCTCGGAGATGTCGCTTTCTCAGCAGACGCCCGAGCAGGTGATCGTGGACCACATCCGTGCGAAAACCAAGCCGAAAGCCAAGGCTGCCCCGCTGGATCCCAGCAGGAGCGTCTCGGCAGATCTTCGAGATCCAAGAACCAAGGCCTCTCAGTGGCCATGCAACAATGCTCACATCCCGGGACGACCTCAAGCCAACGCCCATGGCCAATGGACCCACTGCGCAGTCTGCAACCTCCGTCTGGAGTACGTGCCGCGGCTTGGGAGCCACGGCCAGACTACGAAGATGGACAATCCAAGCATGACCCTACGGATGCTTCAACAGCTACAGGGTCTGATGGGAAACTGCAAGCCAACAGCGGCCATCTGTTTGGCTATGCAGCGAAAGATCGATGCGGAGGAGCAGCTCAACACGTTGATTCGGGAGCGGATGTCCGAGCCCCAGATGGTGGAGACTGTGACGCAGGTCGCGACGGCTACCCCTACAACGAGCGCTACGACACCTCCGATGGCGAATCCAACAAGTCCCGGACAGACATCCTCCACAACAAGCTGGCAGGTGACGGAGAATCCCAACACCCTGGACGACGGCTACTGAAGGAGGAGGACAACAACAAGGCTAAGAATGCTCACGGCACGACCCTTCCCGTCTTCATGGGTAAAAAGTTGATGGCGCTGACCGGCCTCTACGCTGCTATGTTCTCCCAGCTGTTGATCAATCTTCACTTGAGTGACTGCGATGGCTTGTGGGAGATCTCTTCCGCACCACATGGTCGGCTAAGTGCTGTTGCCGAGCAACAAGGACTACAACCTCGGCGCATCAACTACCAAAATGGTTACAATCTCTATAAGTCCAGTACTTGGGTACTTCTACGAGATCTACAGCAACAACGCCGTCCACGACGACTGTGGATTTCGCTGCCCTACACCCGTTGGTGTCCTTGGCACACAATGCCCCAACAAGATGCCGGACGACAAGAACAATGGGAAACGGACCGACGCCGGGAGCGACGTCTACTATGGGAAGTGGCCAACTTCGTGTTGCACGTGGTTTCGGTCGACCCCTCCGTGATGATCTACTTCGAATGGCCCATGGCGTGTTCAGGATGGCAACAACAACCCATGTTGTATCTCAAGGAGGAACTTGGCAAGCAAGGTGTTCCATGGCTACCATGTCGGGTCGACGGATGTCGATACGATCTCAGAGATGTGGAGACGGAGGATTTCATTCAGAAGAAGTGGCTCATCAAGACCTCCGACGAGAAGTTCCATCAGCAGTTCCGCACTAAAGTATGCCCTGGCAACCATCGACATGCACCCGACCGACAACGAGAATCCTTTGTCGAGACCTACTACCCTGAGAAGCTGGTGCAATCAATCACCCATCACTGGCGTGAACAAATGTGTCCAACTCGTCATCTACGTTATCTTCGACAGGGAGATGAGTCAATGGCAAGCGCTGGAACTCTGGAGTCTAGCGAGGCGACAGAAGGTTGGAATCTACAGGCAGTAGAACAGCCTCACGAGGAACTACCAGATGAGATGGAGTTGTCAATGAGTCAACCAGCCGTCATCGAGATCAACAACTATGCTCGAGAACTCAGTGCTCGACGAAAGTTTTCCTTTGATGATTGCGAGAAGCTGTTGTACTTCATCTACAACTACAGCGGTGTCAATTATCAACAGCAACATCTACGATGGGCAACGACGCCAGCTCAACGTCTTCAACTCGGTCTGTACTCCTTTGGTGCTTTCGGAGGCATCACGAATCAGACTCAAGAGTTTGCGGATGTCGCTGTGTACCTCAACAAGTTCATACAACATCATTTACCACAACACTCTTGGACGAGTATGATGGTCAATTTCAACGGACGTGCGCGACCCCACAAGGACCACCACAACGTCAAGGGAACATCGAACATACTTGCCGGCTTTGGCCAGTATCAAGGCGGTGGATTGTGGCTTCAAGGTTCTCCCACTGATGGCCAAGAAGAACGGAGGCGCCAAATGGCGAATGGAAGCTACGAACAGGGCTACGTGGAGCCGACTTTTCATCGGTTCGTGGTCTTTGATCCCGGACAAGTTCATGCTGCTCAACGATGGCAAGGACTGCGGATTGCCATTTCAGCCTACTCTTCGAGAATGGTGATGAACAGCAACCCAGAAGAAATGCGTGCTCTACGCCAGTATGGCTTTCCAGTCGGGAGTTCCCAGACTCCATCGATTCTGTCTGCTGCAGAACAAACCACATCTACCACCACGGGTCTGAAAAACAGGATAGTAGATCTTGATTCCCAGACTCCGTCGATTCTTGCTGCAGAACAGACCACATCTACCACCACGGGTCCTTTTTTAGAAACAGGCGATGCTTCAAGTTCGCAGTTACCAGAGGGGGTATCACAAGATGAGGTACAGAAGTGGACAGTTCAGGTCGCGAAGTTTCACCGTGCTGCTGGTCATCCGTCCAACAGAAATCTAGCCAGAATCATCAAGGACGCAGGTCATCCAGAATGGAAGATTGAAGTTGCCCGGCAGTTCTCGTGCCCTACGTGTCAAAGCGTGAAACCAGGAGGAACCAGCTCTGGCAAAATCCCACCAGCGAGTACACATGCGCAGTATGGAGCGTGGGAAGCAGTGGCAGTGGACTCAGGCGAATGGGTCCCACCAGGACGCAAGATCAAGGTGAAGTTTCTGTTGTTCATGGACGTGGCCACCAAACTACGTGTGGTATGTCCAGTTCACGTGTACGACTTCCTGGAAATGAAGGCCGAGTCCAGTCAAGACTTCATGGTCCACTTCACAGAAAGATGGCTTGGAAACTATCCCAAACCTAAGGTGGTTTTGATGGATTCAGCTAAGAGCTTCATCTCTGAGGCCACGCAGAACTACATGTCAGACCTCAACATCCTGGTGCACTTCATTGCCGAGAAGGAGTCTTGGGCCCACGGTGTGGTGGAAGCTGCAGTACAAGACCTGAAGATGACAGCTTCGGCCATCTACCAAGACATCCGTGACCTACAACCACCCATTGCGCTACAGCTGGCCACCGCCGCCCTCAATTCTACCGAGTTCACTGCTGGATTCTCTGCCTTTCAATGGGCATTTGGAAGACAGTACTCCCTGACCGATGAGGACGTTCGGACCTTTGCCAATAGCGACCACCAGAACGAGTTCACCCGTCTGATGACATTGCGACAAGATGCGGAAGCAGTTGCCTGCCGAACACGGGCACAACGAGTTCTCACTCGCCTTCACAATTCGACGGTGCGTCAACCCTTGCGGGAGTTTGATCCATTGACACTGGTGAAGGTGTGGCGAAAGGTCTGGCCCCAGGAGCAATTCAAAGGGGCTCGTAGTGGTTTCCGAAAGTCCGGTAGACCACACTGGACCGGCCCGGGGCGAGTAGTCTTTCAAGAACTCCTACCCCATCAACAACCAGGAGATCATCGTCGACACATTGTGTGGGTACTGATGGGACAGAGGCTACTACGGTGTTCAGTGCACTCAGTGAGGCCAGTGACCGAGGAGGAGAAGTTTGTCTATGAAACCTCCAGTGGTGAGGATCCTATGACATGGAGGACTCTTGCGGACATTCTACCCAAGCGCGAGTACTACGATCTGGTGGATCAGGAACCACAACAACATGAGCGAGAACTTCCTGACCTACCGGAAGTTCCGGATGAGACCACCCGTGTGGCACCTCAACGGCGAGTACGAGCAAAGATGAATCCTCAACTGCTGGAGCCCGTTCCAGAGGAGGGAACCCACGCTACGTCAGCAACGTCCTCGTCAGAACCTCCTCGACAACCACCCGAGGTCAACGACTACGACCAGCCACAACTCAAGAAAGCCAAGGCCGAAGAACCTTCATGGGTTGAAGAGCTCTACATGGAGGCGAACATGGAGGAGCAGTCCATGGATATCTTTGGTGCCATGACGGAGGTGAATGAGTTCCTCAAGATCGAGATTGACCTTCCGCACATGACTTCCAACCGACAGAAAAAGATGTTCGAACGGAACCCAGTGGCGTATCTCGTCAAGAAGATGAAGGACTCTGAAGTGGTCCTGAGCCGGTTATCTCCGGAAGACCGGAAACTCTTTACGCGAGCCAAGGCCAAGGAGGTGGAATCGTTCCTGCGCAACGAAGCGGTGAGGAAGTGCCTTGATGATACAGAGGTGAAGCGTGCCTACGAATCTGGGAGAATCGTGAAAGCTCGTTGGGTTCTAACCTGGAAACTTGTGCCACCTGAAGATCAAGAAGAAGCCCAACGTGATCATCAAAGCAACGAGAACACCATGCATACCAAGGATGGACTTCGTAATGCAAAGGCACGGATTGTTCTCCTTGGTTTTCAGCACCCAAACCTACTTGACCCAGCCTTCAAGACATCCAGTCCTGTACAATCTACGCTTGGCCGGAACCTCCTCTACCAGATGTCTGCCCAGCACCAATGGCCGTTGGAGGGACTAGACTTAGCAACAGCCTTCCTTCAGACGCAACCCACAGAAGCTGATCAAGAGCTATGGACCACAGGTGTGGAAGAACTACGGCAAGCGGTTGGCGTAGGAGCAGAAGAAATCATGAGGATCCTCCGGAACATCTATGGATCCACTACAGCTCCTCGAGGATTATGGCTTGATCTCCATAAAACCTTGACTCGACTGGGAGCCCAACCAGTCTTGGGCGAACGATGTCTGTGGATCTGGTTGACTAAGATCGAGGAAAACTACATCGACGGCAAACCTCAAACTATTGGCGCAATGGGAGGCCATGTTGACGATTTCCATCGACTTGGAAATGGATCACCAGAGTGGTTGGAAGTGAAAGCAAAGATCGATGCAGCCTACAAGTGGGGAATGACCAAACAAGGCAGCTATCGACATGCTGGTACGGATGTGTCTACGGTTACGGATGAAAATGGCTATCAGAAGATCCTCGTCGATCAACAGTACTACGTGGATGGTCTCACCGATGTTGAGATTGACGCTGATCGACTACGTTCGGAGCAAGCCCTCGGAACCAAAGACATTGAAGCGTGTCGCACTGCACTTGGAGGCCTACAATGGTTGGCAGTGCAGTCTCAGCCCCAGCTTTGTGCACGATGCAATCTACTGTTAACTGAAGTGGTTACCAGTGGAACAATGGCAACGGCACGAGAGATTCAACAGATGATTGGAGAAGTTCGCCGTGAATGCTTCAAGCTGGAGTTTAAGAAGTTCCTGGACGTGCAGACGTGGGATGAGATGGTTTTCATTTCCATGGGTGATCAGGCTCACAACAATCGTCCAAAGGGAGATTCAACAGGAGGACTCATTACTTTGGCAGCTGGACCAGGAAGTCTAGATGGAGGTGTGAGCCCCATGGTGATTTTGGCCTGGCGGACATGGAAGCTACGTCGCAAGGCTATTGGTTCAAACGATGCCGAGGTTCAGTCAATCCTGGAAGCAGAAGACCACAACTTTCGCACGAGACTTCTTTGGACAGAACTTCACGGAGCCGGTGGTCACCTTGGACAACGACCTCGCAGGACAGACCTTGTTGAACTCCTAGAGCTACAAGCCGAGCGAGTTCGTGGAGTTCTGTGCACCGACTCCCGGGGCGGTTACGACGCAGTGGAACTGAACGAGAGTCCACTTCTGGGCTTGAGTAACATGCGCTCAGCACTGCAAGCATTTCAGCTCCGGGACAATCTACAACGTGCAGGATGCAAGTTAAGATGGTTGGCTTCAGACTTTGACTTGGCCGATGCGTTGACCAAGAAAAGGGAGGAAGCTCGACAAGGGCTACTGAAGATGCTTCGCACCGGCTACTGGAGTATCAGATTTGATCCTTCATTTACGTCTGCTAAGAAAGGAAAGAAGCAGGGCAAAAGTGCTCTGGAAGCAGTCGATCGTCATGTTCTTAGGGGACGCCCTCGCCCGAGCCATCACTGAAGTTTTTTGGGGCTGGTGCAGCAGCGTACCAGTTTTGTGCAGTCAGTGATGTCTCAGCTGTGCAGTGAAAGCCTTTGGCTTAAGGGGGCCCCCTTTTGTGTGTGCTACCTTTGACCTAGAGCCATACGGACGGAGCTTTGGCGCTCCTGTGAAAACAAGCTCAGAGCTGAGTGCTCTTTTCTGATTGTGGTCGTGTGGGATTCTTTGACTTCTATAACAGCCCAATCAAGCTACCTTTGCAGCCTCCGCTGCAGAACCCTTATAGATCCCTTAAAGGAGCCCTGAGGTTCTTCCCCAGCCCTCCAGCTCGAACCCTTGAATCAGCCCTCTGCGGGTTCCCTGTTTCAGGGTTCTTCGAAGGGTTTAGGGTTTAGGGTTTAGGGTTTAGGGTTTAGGGTTTCCCTTTTTTGAAGGAACCCCTTAAAGGAGCCTTTATAGTAGTGCTCCCGAAGCTAATTAGGGTTTAAGGTGTAGGGGTTAGGGTTTAGGGTTGGGTTACAGTAGAAGCCCAAAAGTTGGAAACCCAATAGTCTCAATCCTCAAGAGTAATGTATGCGGAATCCCAGCAGTATGTGTCCTTCGTCCGGTTTCCAACTTTTTGGGGCTGAATATAAAACCCTAAGCCCTAAACCCTAGACCCTAAACCCTAAACCCTAAATCCTAAACCCTAAACCCTAAGCCCTAAACCCTATACCCTAAACCTTAAATTAAGACAAAGGGAGCCGCCCCGGCCCAAAGGTATGACGACGATGGAAAAGATATGTCCGATGAGTCCGACCAGGACTGGGGGCCGGGACTCAAGGGATAAATAGGGTTTTGGGTTTAAGGTTTAAGGTTTAGGGTTTAGGGTTAAGGCTTTAAGGCTTAGGATTTAGGGTTTAGGGTTTAAGCTTAAGGGCTTAGGGTTTAGGGTTGAAGGTTTAGGGTTTAGGGTTTAAGCTTTATAAGGATTGTGAAGGGTTTGGGTGCGGTTTATGATTTAAGGTTGAGGGTTTGAGGGATGGTTCCAGGGGTGTCTCAGTTGTTCGTTCTCCGCTCGCCTGATTTGCGACCTTGGTCGGGTTCAAAGTTCTACCAGTTTGCCTCCCTTGTTGATATAGCTATCGCGGATGGCGTAACCTTGACGCGTGTAGGAGTTTGGATGTGGTGAATGTGTAATAAGGGAGAAGAAGAATTGCCGATACTATGCCTTCGGGTTCCCAGTCTGAGTAGGGATTGCACGAAGAGGGTTCGAAAGCATGTAATTCGGGTGAAGGCTCAGAAGGTCTTTGAACCTTCTTCGGAATCCTGTTTTTCTGGTTGTACAGATGAATAAGCCTCCTAAAAATGGAGCCCGCAACAGGTGGCTTATATTATTAGCTTAACCCCCTAAACCCTAAAGCCTAGTATTGGGTTCACGTTATTGTAAAGCCGGTTCGACTTTTCAGTGTTGATTTTTCGTTGATGCTCAAAACAACAGCAGCCTGAACAAGTATCAAGACTATTTCTCAAGGCCTTGTTATAATCATAATAATACTCTGCGCCTGTTCCAGTTATCCTATACTACACCCCAAGACCCTATTCTAATCATGGGGCCCCTATTGGCCCTATTTCACCCCGCCAGACCTCCAATGTTGATTGTTTTGAAGGCTTTAGCCGCCAATGCTCCCTCAAAAGCCAATTCGCAGCACGGAGAATCCTAACGGCACAACTGCTGAAAGTTAAAGCCGGCAAGCCCAAATACTATATACCCCAAGTCCCTTGGCAGCCATATACAATAATCACATAAGGCCTTGGAACCTTTACATGTCGCATTAAGCCCCACCCCAGCTTCGCTGCAGAGTCAGGACTTTGAGGCCAGTGGCAGGCATCGACAGCGACTCTTTTCCTGCCTTCTGATGTCGGCGTGGCTTGGCAATTATCCCTAAGGGCCCATGAACCAAAATAATAGAAACTCTGGCCATAAAGTAGTCCTTATTTGGGTACTATGGAGCCAAAGTATGTACTATTTGGGTACATGGACCTCTAGGGTATTTGTGGCAAAGTTTTTTTGTGCGTCTGTATTAGGATGTTTCATGTCCTCAAGCTGCCATTCGGGACGCGACGTGAGGACCGTGGCCCAAGGTTCGTAAGACTTCTGATTATGGTCCTTTACACGGGCAGTGGGCTTTGTTGAAAAACCCCCAGCACCCTAAACCCTAAAGACCCTATGCCCTGACTGAAGCCGCAGTGATACGAGGGGCCTCCAGAAATGCGTGCTTAGGGCACTTGGTTCGGTTCTAAACCCTCAACCCTTCCACTGGATACCCTGCCTATAGCCCGAAAAAGCCTTGTTTTTAGGGTTCCGTATTAAATGGTTTCTATATACAAGTCGATAGAAAGGGTAGGTTTTGGGGGCCACAGGTGTGCCCCAAAGAACCTACCTTTGCAAGGCTCTTTATTTTTCATGATTTTCTTATATACGTCCTTAAGGTAGGTCATGCAGCATTCAGGGAAACCCTGAACTCTTGAACCGCACATGATTTAGGATCACCCTAAACCCCAAACCCCAAACCCCTAACCCCTAACCCCTAAACCCCGAACCCTAAACCCCCAAACCCCAAACCCCTAAACCCCAAACCCGAAACCCTTTATAAACCCCAAACCTCAAACCTTAAGCCCCTAAACCCCAAACCTCTCAACCCCAAACCCCTAAACCCCAAACCCCAAAGGGCCGGGTTGCGGGGTTCAGTTCCCAACCCAGTCAGGTGCGCTGTTGTCTGCATTAGCTTCATTGCTTTGGCCAAGTCCAGCATGGATGGACACTTGCCTGCAACAGCTCTGCCTGAAACCCGCAGCCGCATTTAAGCCCTAAATCCCAAACCTAAACCCTGAATCCGTGACGATTTCATCTCCCATTCGTCTTGGCAATCTACTTATGGGCTTTTCGAGGTCCCTGAAAGCATGAACCCTGTACCGTACATTCTTTAAGTCTTACAGGCTCGTAACTCCAAAACCCCCACACCCGCAACCCTGCGCTCGAAACCCCCAAACTCAAACTGCATAGGCCGAACACCCTGCAAGCTATATTGAGTCAATAGCCTACAACCCCATAAGGCGTAACCCTAAACCCTAAACCCTAAACCCTAAAACCTTGCAAGTTCGATCCCCAAAGCGTTAAACTCCGTAAGGCCTAGCTATACTATAGCTAGGCCTTGTTCAATTGCAGTTTAGGGTTTAGGGTTTAGGGTTTAGGGTTTAGGGTTTAGGGTTTAGTTTCAGGGTTTTATTGCTTAATGTCAGCAGAGTATGTTCTTGCGCACGAATCACCAGAAGGTCTTGAAAATTGAGGTTTACAGAAAGGCCCAAATATGCACTGCTGTACTACCTAAGCCGATAAACCCCAAACCCTGAGCCCCCTCAACACACTCTCCCTGGGAGGCAGCGCAGAAGCAACAACAGCAATAATGGCATAAGAAGGAGTTTGTGATAACAGCAATAATTCCCATCATAATAGTAGTAGTAACAGTAGTAACACTATTAATAAAACCCTAAACCCACAACCCTAAACCCTAAACCCTAAACCCTAAACCCAAACCCTATAGTAACAATATTAATGGTAGCAAAAACAATAATACAACCAAGCCGGCGCGCCATGGTAAAGTCTCAAGCAGCTTTCAGCTTCCACTCCCAGTATGGTGGATAGTTCTCTAAGTTAGGGTCCCTTTTTTTATGTGTGGGTAGTTCTCTAAATTAGGGTTTAGGGTTTAGGGGTTTAGGGTTTAAGGGTTTAGGGCAGTTTAGGCGTTTAGGGTTTAGGGTTTAGGGTCCCTGTCTAGATCCCAAACATGCTACAGCACCCTTGTTAAAAGGGACCCTAATTTAGAGAACTGCCCATGTGCAGAAAATCCACTGTCCTTTGACGCGAACCCTTTTCACCACTTTGGAAGCTTGAGTAATTGCCAATATTAAATTTCAGGGCTCCTTCTTCTAGATATGCTATATCACGACCCAGAATCCTATTCTAGTGATGAAGGCCCCCAACAGCAAAGAGCAAAACCGAAGCCCTCAGCCCCTGTAGTATCCCTTGCAAGGCCTGTTGGCGCGACCCGGGCCCCCCTGGACCTCTGTTAGCGCTTGGGGCCCCCCCACGGAGGCGAATGCTTGAAGCGGGAGCTTGATTGGGTTTATACGGGCTCTACAGGGGTTCGTCTTTTGTGTACGAGGGATTTTGGGGCTTTACCAGACGGCGTTTCTAACGCTTTGTTACGTTTTGCTTAGGTTCAGGGTAGTTTTGTACTTCTTGACGGTTGTTTGAGGTCTTGTTTCGTGAAGGGTCTCTTCATTTCAGCGGTTTCGGCTTGTTGTGTCTGTAAGCGTTTCTCCAAGAGGTCTAAACCCCTAAACCCCTAAACCCTGAAACCTAAAACCTGCACCGAGACCCGGTCATTAAAGGGTTGTCTTTGTTTTGAGGGTCTGAGGCTCACTATCAAAACGTAGCTATAGTCTCCATTGTAGTCCCTTTTGTGGTGATCCTAAACATATATGTTTGGTTGAACCAAAAAAGGAACTACAATGGAGACTATAGGTAGGATGTTCACTGGATGAGGTTGTTGTTTTGGGTTTCATGTGGGTACTTATCTTAGGTCCCCGAAGTAGTACAGCAGCATCTTATAAAAAGCCCTAAACCCTAAACTCTAAACCGACCCTAAGAGGGACTTTTGGTTTAGAGAACTACCCAGGTGCTGGTCATGGGTTTTCGACTGTTGGCCTGGGTCTGGGGTTTAGGGCTTAGGGGTTTAGGGGTTTAGGGTTTAGGGTCTAAGGTATTAGGGTCTAGGGTTTGGGGGTTTAGGGTTCAGGGTTTAGGGGTTTGGGTTGAGGGTTTAGGGTTTAGGGGTTTGGGGCTTTAGGGTTTAGGGTTTAGGGTCTAGGGTTTAGGGGTCTAGGGTTTGGGTTTAGGGAGTACAGTACCTATGTGGAGAGATGTTGCAGATGAGTCTGGTTGCAGCTGGGCATGTGCTGGCCAGTAGATAACAGGG